GCAATGTATCTTAAAATGTATGAAGGAATACAAAACATGCATTACTATTTCAAGATAGCAGTGTCAAGGACACAGGACTTGGAGAGAGTACTGCACTACATCTGTATGACTTAATACAGGTTCCTGCAAGTGCATTATACCAAACCTGCATAAGGTAATGCATGTCATTATCAGTTGACATTATTCCACATGTGTTTATGTTACTTGGCTTTTTCCTCTGAGTAATTATTGTACCACAGTTTCCGCAGTTGAGATTAATTACAAACCTTAATAGATACTACACCCAGCTTCCTGATTGGCCGGGTACCGGCTCCATGTTCTCTCGTCACTTGTGATGAGAGAGCATGGAGCCGACTTCCCGGCTAATCAGGAAGCCGGGCAGTGTATAATGACGCGCTGCCCGGCTTCCTGATTGGTCGGGAAGCTGGCCAAACAGGAAGCCGGGCACCGTGTAATGACGCAGCGCCCGGCATTCTGATTGGCCGGGAAGCCGGCTTCATGCTCCCTCGTCATCTCATGATTATCTCATCTCGTCATCTCATCTCGTCATTACACGGTGCCCGGCTTCCATGATTGGCCAGCAAGACGGCTCCGGCTGGGTACCAGAGGAAGGCCGCTCTTGGCTGGAGAGGCCCCGGGGGTGACAGGCTGGACATGCCGAGGTGAGAGGGGACAGGCTTTCTTTCTTTTTTGTTAATCAGGTGTAACACTCGCCCCTAGGGGTCTGGCTTATGGACCGCAGCTGCGGATTAGGCCTCTATCGAAGAGGACGGGTATCGGGGTGCAGCTCTACCTCTGGAGCCCAGTGTGTGGAGTAAGGCGAGGAGGGAGCTGCTTCACATCATGCCCCGTATAGCAACACGTTAACCCTGTATAGCAACAACAGGTTAGGTCTGGAGGGTTCAACAAGTAATGAAGACAGTATGAAGTTCAATGGAGTATACGAACAGTAAGCTCAATTAGTTTCGATGCAGTTCAACAGGCTGTATAACAGTATCGTTCAATTAGTATGAAATGCAGTTCAATAGGATGCAAGAACAGTACAGCTCAAGTAATATCAATGCAGTTCAGTAGGATGTATGAACAGTATAGCTCAATTGGTATAATTGCAGTTCACTAGGATGAATGAACAGTATAGCTCAATTGGTATCAATTCAGTTCAAATAGTATGCAAGAACAGTACAGCTCAAGTAATATAAATGCAGTTCAATAGGATGAATGAACAGTTTAGCTGAGCTAGTGTCAATGCAGTTCCATAGGTTTTAGCCAGCAGCTATGGCTGGAATACTTGCGTCTAGGAGTGGGTGGAGCCTCGCGGCGCGCCTGCGCCGTAGCGCGGACGGAGCTCGTTCCCGGCTGAGGGGAGATGGAATCGTTACATGACGCCCTCCTCAAGGGAACCCTACCAGGGGTCCCAGGGGGAGAAGGCCGGTCAGGATGCCTCCTGTGGAACAGCAATACCTTCCTAGGTGCGTGGACGTCCTTCGAGTCTTCCCATGAATCCTCCAGAGGACCACAGGATTTCCACCCTAAGAGGTACTGCCAGCGGTTTCGGTATCTGCGGGAGTCGAGAATCTCTTCCACCTCGTACTCTTCCTCCCCGTCTACCGTAACGTGGTTGGATCCTCGAGTAAGCTGGTTCCTGCAGGGGAGCAAGTGGAGGCTGGTTTGGTCAGCGTCCTGCTTACAGCGATAGTGGGACGCCAATCAAACCGCTGACCGCGGCTTTATGCCGACGGCTCGAGTGCGGGGGGTGGAGTCTCGCGGCGCGCCTGCGCAGTAGCGCGGACGGAGCTCGTTCCCGGCTGAGGGGAGATGGAATCGTTACATCAGGAAGCCAGGTGGCGAGTCATTACCTGCCACCTGGCTTACTGAATGGGGCTTCCGGTACTCGGTAATTGGTATCGGCGAGTACCATAAAAAAATTATCGGTACTCGGTACCAAAATACCAGTATTGGTGCATCCCTAGTATGAAGTAACAAAAATACGACCAATCCCATTCCATCAAAATGGGGTCTAGGTGTCTCCCCTGCCGATCTAGAAGTTGAGCAGTTACATGACCGTTAAGGGCACCATGGCGTAAGTGCAGGCATCCATTACCCCTGAACATATAAAGTGCTCCCTGGGCAAGTAAGCAAATAATACATACAATGTAATTTCCTCCTTCTGGCAGGTCCTGCCGAGCTTCATCTGGGAAGATGTCGGGCACTTGGCTATGGTTAGTCTTTTTATTGGGGTTCAGAGGCCTCACGTGGGGTGTCATTCAGCAAAGACATGTGACTGGCACAGGTTTGCCAGGTACAAATTACTTCCACTGTGCCAGGATGAATGGCACAGCGAGCTCAGGATAGAAAATGCCGGGGTGTATGAGGATGAGGGGCTCCCCATGGCACGCTTCATTCATGAGACTTTGTATGGGGTAGCCTTAGATTAGACAACAGCACATGGATATGATCTGCTTGAGGTGCCAATGGACAGGGCCAGCACTCCTCTGAGGGTGCCCGGGGGTGGGGCGAAAAATGCACCTTCGCCTGTGTAGGCAAAAATCCTTGCACCAACCCAGGCCAAACACAATCTTGGCTGGGAGGCAATTCTCCCCACCTCTTCTCTTGCCTCTGCCTCAAACGCTTCTGTCAGTTTATGCTTTTCCGGTGTCAGCTGCTGCGTTAAGTCCCGTTGTGGTTATTATTTTTATTATAATAATTTTTTTGTATTCTACAATGTAAAACAACATATTTGCTTGAAAAACAATGTACCGCTTTTGGCACCTAAAATCCTGCATAATCATACCGCCAGGGAGGTTAAAGACGGCCCTGCCTATGTAGAATAAACATTTGGGTGAGTTTTTGTGATTGGGACAGAGAGACTCTGGGAAGGAGAGAGAAACTGAATCCCACTGTTTCTCTATAAGGGAGCTCTAAATCTTTATCTCACTTGCCTCTACTGGGTAACGTGGGTTTTGGCATAAGACATAGACCGCAAATAAAAATAAGCATGAGATAGAAGCCCACTAAGTTTTGTGGCCAAACATCATTAGGACCGTGGCCCTATCCAAGCTAAGTGAATATAATTTAGTGTCGTCAGCGCTAAGGATGCGCTGCCTGTTCGAGTCGAAAGTAAGTTCAACTCGAACATTGCCTGTTTGAGCATTCGCTGAACTTTGTGAGATGTTTGCAGGTCTGTTCGACCGCGCAACATTCCACAAGGCAATGCGCCCTCTGAAGCTGTAATTGGTTAAAGTCTTGCACCTGACCACAGGTCAGATGCAAGACTTTGCCCAATCAGTACTCATTTAGAGCCATGATTGGGCAAAGTCATGATGACTTTGCCCAACCATGGTTCATAGCTAAGTCCCAGCAGCACTCTATATAAGGCTGCTGACACCGCAGCCTTATGTAGTGTGTTGCTGGAGTTAAACAGAGAGTGTTCTGTCAGTGATCTATATATAGCAGAGTTCTATAGCAGAGTTCTATAGCAGAGTTCTATAGCAGAGTTCTGTACAGCGTTCTACATCTGAATTGTGTACAGCGTTCTACATCTGAATTGTGTACAGCGTTCTACATCTGAGATCAGAACAGTTTAGTCTAACAGTTGATTATTGCAGTCTATTGCACTGTTGTCTCGCAGCACACTTCCAGGAACTCTGCTGTCTGGGAGTTTTTCACCACATGTGCAGCAGACTGCAGCACTGCTATTTGCAACCTGTGTCTCAAGAGGATCAAGCATGGCAAAAACATCAGCCTCTTGGGTACCACGTGCTTGAAGAGACATATGACCACCTGCCACGCATCCCGTTGGCAACAGCACCATAGAAAGGACAACACTTCTCGCTCCTCATCTGTGATCTCTACCCCAACTATACGTCATGCCATGTCAACAACATCCACTGACAGGGATGATGTTATTATATCGCAAGTGAGTTGCGCTCGGTCTCGACAAATATAAATAAAAAAAATGTGTACTCTATAGGACGTGAAGAAGTTACTAAGTTCAGATTCTACTGTGAAAAAATTATTATAAATCTCGGTAGTCACTACCTCGGTAATAATTGTGCAATACAACAATCAGGTGTGGGAAAAGGGTTTTCAATCACCAGCCGGTGTATTGATTAGGTGTTTCTGTGTACTAAGTGTACATGGTTTGTCCAAACAAACCTCTTAGTGATGTGACAATCTATTCAAAGACACCAATCCAAATATAAATGACTCGGTGTCACAGATTGGTCGTGTATAAGAAAAACAAAAACAAATTCTAAAATCCCAATCTCTAAATCGTGACGAATTTTAAATATAGTACGAACACTTAAATAATAAAAATTAAACAGTATGAAAAATGATCACATATACAGTGCTACTCCGTGCACTCTGATTCCTCTCAAAGACAAAGATTAAATGCGGGGTTAATTTAACTAAAATACCGGCATCGATCTTAGGTGAGCAGTCAGTTCAGAGTGGTCAGTTCAAAACGTCTCAAACCAGGGTTAATTCATAGAATCAGGAAAGTCCTATGGTTTCTTGTGATCCGTCCTCCTTTCTCAAAAGATCTGGTCTGCTTTTTTCCTCCCTCTGGCAGGCTCCTTCACCTCTCGCTGGGGACGGAAACCTATTAAGATCTCCCAGGGGGAAAAAAGACGAAGAAAAAGCGGCGGAATCGTCTAAGTGCAGTAATTCAAAAAAGATTTATTTCTTTAAAATACATAGATGCACTTACAAGACAGACGAGTTGTTCGAGCATAAAATCAGTGGCAGAGTCTTAGCTGTGAGCGGTGAAGACAGATCCTCCTTGACGCGTTTCGTGCTTTCACTTTTTCAGAGAGGGATGATGTTATAGCAATGGGTGTGCCAGGTCCTTCCATCGAATCTGCCAGCATCCCACCAGCTGCAGATGTTAGAAATCAAATTTCGCTGCCCCAGCTGCTGCAGCGGACAAAAAATACTGTCCCAGCCATCCAAATGCTCAGCGTCTAAATGCCAGCATGGCCAAATTGCTAGCTTTCCAGCTTCTGCCTTTCCAGCTGGTTGACTCTGCCCCCTTCCGTGAGTTTGCAAAATGTGCCGTACCACAGTAGCAGGTTCCAAAACGCCAATTATTTTCACGTAAGGCCATTCCAGCACTGTACCAGCATGTGGAAGGCAATGTTTTGGCCTCTTTGGACAAGGCAGTCAGCAGCAAGGTCCACATTACCGCGACACGTGGTCCAGCAAGCATGAACTGGGACGTTATATTTCCTTTGTTCAACCACCACGCCTCCAAAAAGCTGCTGATCTGAGGTCTGTCTGCTCCACCCCCTCCTCAACGATGACCTCCTCTGCAGATTTGTCCAGCGAACCAGCAGTTCACTGTAAGCGTTCATGGGGCTACGCAACAGCTCAGGCAAAAAGATTCCATGCAGTGCTTGAGCTGGTTTGTCTAGGGGACAGGAGCCACAACGAGGCATAGATTCTGTCAGCTCTGCAGGGGCAGGCCCAGAGGTGGTTAACACCACGCCAGCTTGAGCCGAGAATGGTTGTATGTGACAATGGCAGAAACCTTCTCTCCGCCCTACGCCTGGGAAAGTTGACGCTGATGTACCATCCTCAGTTTGGTGGTACAGCATTTCCTAACCAGGTATCCAGGGCTGGCAGAGCTTCTCAGGCAGACCAGAAAAGTCTGCAGCCATTTCAGGCGGTCATACCCGGCAAGTATTCGTCTAGCTGAAATTCAAAGGCAATTCCACCTTCCCACAAACCATCTGATTTGTGACATGCCCACCAGGTGGAACTCGACTTTGGCAATGCTGCAGCATCTGCACAAGCAGCAGAGGGCCATCAATGAGTACCTGTGTGAGTATGGCACAAGGACTGGCTCAGTGGACCTTGGCTTTTTCCCCCCACGTCAGTGGCTGCTGATAAAGGATGCATGCACTGTACTGTCACCATTTGAGGAGGCGACGAGGATGGTGAGCAGGGACAGTGCATGCATGAGTGACACAATCCCTCTGGTGTTCCTGCTGGAGCACACTCTGCGTGGAATTATTGACGTGGCACTAGAGGCAGAGCAGCGGGAGGAAGAGGAGGACTTCCTTAGCTCTCAAGGCCCCCTTTACACAGAAAACATTCCTGCGGGTCTGCAGATCACACAAGAGGAGGAGGAGGAGGAGAAATATGTCAGCCATGGGGGCATTGAAGGTGAGGATGGCATAAGGCATTCTTCAAGGGAGGGTTTTCTGTCATCAGAAACCCAAGAAGTAGTACGGGCTGGGAGTAGGTAGTGCACGATAGTGTTGTAGCGCTCACCCCCGAAGGAGCCGCTGGATGATCGGGCACTTCTGTCTCACCTCTGTGATAGACCTCAGGCAATGGATCCACAGCACACCTTGTGAAGTTTTGTAACAGATTTAATGACTGTGGAATAGAACAAGGCACTTAACTGCTCCCCAAATCACATATAATACAACCAATAACAGGATAAGGCAATCTATTGCATGTACGAAAGCCTGCAATGTCAGAATGTCTCAGATAACACACTTTGATTAGATACAATCAACACTAATATCTCTACTTAAAAGTATCTACCCCACTCTAAACTACTGGCCAGTAGTACTGTCCTAGGCTAGCCAACGTTGGGGCCCATGCTGTATAGCAGATGTGGAAAAGTACATTTGTTGCATTGGCCAAAAGCCTCTCACCACTTCCAGTGTCACTTTGGAAAAAGGAGTATGGTTGTCTGCAGGAGGGGAACATCCCTCTTTCCTCAGACCGACATCTGTGAAATGGGCGCAGTCATCTAGGGCCTCCTGCAGGACGTCTCAGCTCGTCTAAGGTACCAGGCAATGATCTCCGTCTGCTCCGCTCGGCTCCACTCACTCAGCTAGGCAGGCTAGATTACTCCGGTGGCTGGATCGGCGACCAGGCCGCAATATCACCACCGCTGCCGCGTCACTAGGCCTCAATCCAGGAGCTTGGTCACCGTCTCTTCAGCTCATCAAGGAATATCAGTCTCTACAGCACTGCGGTACAGAGCCTGTGTGTCAGAGGCGACCACATAGCTCTGTTACAAGCAGTCTTAAAACACACTGTGTAACATCGATCTGACCACTTCAGATCCCGGTCTTACACTGATCGCGCTCCGTAGTTGCAACCCATAAGCCTCCTGTTTCCTCCCCACAGCATCCTGGGAGATGCAGTTCTCAAAGTCCTTTCAGCAAATATCCATATCTGCTCTGTACTACAATCCCCACAATATGTGCTCTCTGGCTCCACCTGCAGCTGTAATATCTTTGCTCTTAAAGGAGCTGACACCACAACAGGGCTACACTGTCATCCTCATTGACCCTGAAGACTCGGAATCTCATGCCTCCTCCAACTTATGCTGCATGGGCTCCCTTGCCGACAATAAAGGCCCAATTTTAAAGCACCTGTTGTTACTTTCATCCAATGCCTGCAAAAGAGGCACCAGAATTGACCCCAAAAATCTCTAACCTTGTTCCGAGTGTCCTAAAATGTGGCCTCCCCAAGCAGTTGTTTAAAAGATGAAAGGAAAACCAATTACCGGCAATTGAAATGTCATTTTTTTTCTTTTTAAATGTCACTTTTTGCAGCAGCAGGTTCTATGCATTGTACAGATCCGCCACTTCACAAGCAGTTTATGGGGACCCCCATCCTTTTATGGCCAATAACTTGCATATACGCCCTCTTAAAGGGAACAATTGTTTCCGAACGTTCTACCCCCATTGACTTGTATCGAGTTCGAATTCAAACTTTTCGACCGTGTTGGAGTGTTCGGCCCATCACTAGTCAGCGTATGTTTAAACTGTAAGTACTGGGAGACCAAAATTAGAAGAGTACAGCTGATCAACTGGCTTTTCCAAATCTCACAGCCCTAACATTTTAATAGTTGAACCGTAATAGGTACTATTCCAAATAGAGGTATATAAATTGAATCCAACATATGCAGAGTTGATTTCACGGCAGATCATACTTTGACCAAAAGACTTACTGTTGGGGGAGATGTGGTTTTAGAAGAATTTGCTGTTTTCAAATATTCTAAATTGTGCATATTGGAAGTACTGCTGAAATTCCCCTAATCAGTCAGTGTAATCCTCTACACTCCATCCCACAAAACGTTGTAATTGGGCAGCTGAAAAGCAGAACTTGCCATGTGGTACTGCCAAGCCCCCAATATCCTTAGGCAGCTGTAGTACAGGCAATTTGCTCCTGTGTTGTCCTTGCTTCCAAATGAAATCCCAAAATGGACTTCCGGTTCCGGCGCCTAATGGGATAGAGGTGTACGGCGCTTCTTTGTCCCGCCGACATAATGATAACCGTTACCCCCGCTCCTCACCGGCTCCCTCAGACCGACTGTGCTACTCCGACTCTCGCCCACAGCAGCCGAGGCGTTCTCTCTTTCCTGCATCTGAGGACGAACGTGCCGCTCCCAACATGGCAAATCGCAGCGCCCTCAGACGGGACTGGTGAGTCACCCTCTGCACTATCTCATTCCCCGGTGTATCATCAGGCTATCACCTCCTTGGTGGCTGCCTACCTGAAATCAGACATCATCACAGTTATTTCAGATGCCCTCAAACAGCAGCTGGGCCCCATTAATGCAGCATTGGAATCTCACTCTGACCGCATCTATGCTGCTGACAACAGGCTGGGTGATGCTGAAGATCGCCTGCATTTTCTCAACCAAAGCAGGCGATCAGATCGCTAAAACTTTGCAGCAACTCTTGCAAAAAGTCGATGGTCTAGAAAATAGATCACAGAGGAATAATCTTTGCATTTGGGGCTACCTGAATCGGTCACCCCAAGGGAGCTTATTCACTTTTGTGCTTCTGTTATACCTCAGGCCCTGGGCCTCTCTGCCTCATGTAAAGTGGAACGTGCACACAAGATAGGCCCTCCCAGAGATAGCCAGAAGCCCAGGCCTGTTGTTGTTGTTGTTTGATACTTGGATTTCTCTGACAGACGACAGATTATCCAAGCCTACCGAGCCCAGCATCACCTGGTTGCCAGATGCTTCTCCCTACTGCTGTTTGCTGACTACTCCGTGAGGCTTGCCAAGCACAGAAAGGCATTCTCTGAGGTATGCCACTTCTTGGTCGATAAAAGGATCAAGTTCACTCTGGCCGATCCTCTGTCTCTCAGAATTACTACACAAGATGGTCTTACTGAATCATTCACAACTGTTGACGCAGCTAAACGGCATGTACTAACCCTGTTGGACACAAGCTATGTTTCACCATCAAAAAGTCCTCCCCGGAAGAAGAAGGCCTGATCCGTGAAACCCCACTCCTTGGGGTCACCTACTTCTCCTTCATGGAGACCCTTCACCCTGGTTGCCTGAGAAGCGGATTGCCTCTCAATCATATTATCTACTTATTAGTCGATTATACTTAGTTCCATTCATTACCATTTTGCTCAGGGATGGAGCATGCAAATTGAATTGATAACATTCTCTCTATAGGAGCATGCCATGGACCGCTCCATTGCCTTGGCGGCACGTGGTCCGTGATTCCTGCGATTCCCACTGGGAAAAAAGGAGTCACCTATGCTTACCAATTTTTTTTTCTTTGTTGTTGCTGATGTTTGATGTTCAAATAATTCAATTTCAGCATGACCTTTTAGGCCTCAGGACTTCTACCATTTGGGGTAGCGTGACTGCTGTGATGTCAAAGGTCTTAAAACCCTGCAGAAGAGGACTCAAATCCTTCGCTGTCTCCAGAAACTTAAAACTGACATCACCATCCTCCTAGGAAACCCATCTCCACTCTGAGGACTTCTTCCGTATGAAACGCTTTTGGGTGGGTACAGTGGTTGGAGCCCGGCTAATGGATGCTCTGCTGGAGTCCTCACCTTGATTAAAAAATCACGGCCTCACTCCTCGCTTCACCATCAGAATGACCATACGGCTGGTAGATGGTCTCATCTAACGATACAAGAAGGTACCAACAACCTGGACGTTTGGAATGTTTACGGTCCCAATACAGACAACCGGCCATTTCTTGACCACTTGCTCTCCTC